TCGATAAAACCCCGTGAAACAATGGGTTTTACATTTACCCGTGCATACTTTGGAGGCAGAGGTCATATCTCGGCGATCTCCAGGATGGAAGGCTCAAGTTTTCCACCAGGTGAAGCCAGGTTCCAATTTCGAAAACACAAATTGTGTTATGTAGCACGGGTGCATTGATGAATAAGTTTAACAGCAGAGCGTGCCACCAGCCCAATGCTTGACCTACACTGACCAAAGTCAATGACCGAGCACACCTACGAAGGGCGACGTCGGGTGTTGCAAAATGAGAATTGGACAGGTCTCCTCCGCAGCCCGCTCCATTGTCACCGGTAATGCTGATCTTTACCTACCTTATTATCTAGCTTACTTATCATTGGCATTTATTCATTCATCAGACGCGATGACAAGGCGCCCAAAGTGGTGATTATAGTTTACGAACCAAAATGCAACGCTCAACAAAATCCAATCTCTTCATACAAGTAAGTTCACTGCGCACGATGACATCACAATTATTCCAAGGAACATTTCTCACACCTTTCGATGCGTCTGAACAAGCCATTTCAAACTGCTTTCTGCTATCCTCACACACATCGCGCCGCACAGATTGCAAACATGCAATGTCTTTTCGTTTAAGCCACATGAACCAGGAAATCCCATGATTGGTTTGTTTTACTTAATCTCTCACAACTGATGTGCCTTTCAGTGTTGAATCAGTTCAGGTAGTGCCTATTGGCAGCCAGTTTCGAGCATCGCGTGGGTGGCGGCCTTAAACAGTGTACTTTACTGCACACGTGAAGCTAGAAAGCAATCAATGATCCACCGCCACGAAACACTTCGTTTGATTATGTGCATTGCATCGTATTTAAGTATGAGTCAAGTTGACTTTTTCAATAAAAACATTGTTTCGCAAGTTTAACCAACCGTGCGTCAAAAGAGATGGAGCGTTTTGATAGGACGGCAGCGGGCCAGCTGTGGCCTCTACCGGCGCGCGTTTGTTTTGGACACGCAGTAGGGCTGTTATGAACAAAAAACAGCAGGGGGAGTGGCATTGGGTGGCGTTCCCATCTGATCAAAGACACGAAGAATTGGCTGAACGGTTCCCTGGCGGCAAACGGGCTCGTGCTATTCGCCCATTTACGCCAGTAATTTTTCCTAACTACGCCATTGATAAACTCAATGACTGCAATTTACGATCTATCACATGACCTAATGTATAAGGGCGGAATGTAGTATGCCCTACCAAATTCGGTCCGAAAGTGGATGCATTGCGCGCGTCCACCACACTGACACAGTGCTTCGTTTAGATGTTTGTTCATCTATGGAGGCTCGCGTATGATGCAGCTACCTGTCAGCCCAACCCACGGATGTTTTGCAGCCGCAGCTCCTGTCTACATTAGCGGCCCTGTAAAATATGATGATTTGTCCCGTGCTTATATCATCAGAACACGCATAGACGTGTATGTGGCTTGGTGTGCACCAGAAAGGTGACGTTGGCCACCAAAAAATGGTCAAAAGCCAGTATGAGGTGCAAAGCTGAAGTGTGAGGCCCCGGGAAAAATTCAAGACAAAAACAAAAATCAAAAGACAAAAGAAAATCAAATGGCAAGAAATTACACGATGCAAAAGTTAAATGCAAAAAATTCAAAAGCACAAAACGTGAAAGAGCAAAAAAGTGAAAAGTGATAGTAGACAGATGTATGACCGTGAAAAGTTGAAAGTACCCCCAGATAGGCAGATAAAAGTAAAAGGACAGAAGCCAAAATCCAAACAGACAAACTGGGCAAATTTCACTCAAGATAGAGACAAATGGATAAAAGCAGAAAAGGTCATGAAAAAAACACATACACATCTGTCTTGGCCAGAAGACCAGGCTTTCAACGGGCCTCCAAACACACGAGAGTCCCTGGTCAGTAGCTCGCCCGGGGGTGGGGACTAATTGTTTGAGGCCCCTCCCCATGGTGGTCAGCGGGGCCAGCCGGCTAGCATCCCGTGACTGCGCGAAGAGCGCAGAGGGTCGAGAGGGAGGGAGGGCTTTGGATCGAAAAAGCCCTTCGCGCGATGCAAGATATTTCAATACGCGATAATTGTTCTCAAGTGATGCCTTCTGACCTCTGTTCTCGGCCCCTCGGCCCCAGCACATCAGGGTCATGAAAACAACGCTGCCTACAGTTCGCGCCACGTATATTTAGTTTGGGAGAATGTTTTTTCAGTGGTCTCTCAAACCAAATGGGGCTTCTCGCCGTGGTGCTCCTCGACGAGGCTTTCTCCTCCAGAATCTCGGGTCTCCTGAATTTGGGCGGAAAGAGGGCATATGGAACCCCACAGCAACCTTTTCTTAGTCCTCAAACCTCTTCCTTTCGTGGCTCCCTTACTTGACAAAAATTAAGATTGCACCTCTTGGTGATGTTGGGGGTCCAGGAGGGCAAAACAAGCATCATTTTGATATCCCAGAGAGCAGTAATAGCACATGACGAGAATGGCTATTAGACAATTTATACATGTCAATATTCTTAAGTGCTACTTTATTCGGTTTTGTTCATTTAATAAGTTTAAGTTGTAGGAGGAAGCGAAATTACTGTTGAAAATGGTTAGTCTTGTGAATATTTGCTGAGAAACCCGACGTTTGACAACTATGGGCATCGACCAAGTTCAGATTAGTTGCATGTTGTTTCATGGACTCTGTAAGCTGCCATATCAGAGGTCTCGCATTCTCAAAATGACACAAATTCATGCGGAAAAAGTTAACAATGAAGTGCTAAAAGCTAAATAGACAAAGCGTGAAAAGGGCAAGTGTCAGATGAAAAAACATCAAAAGGCAAAAGCCGAATAGAAAAGGACATGGAAAAAGAAATACGAGCGCGAAGATCATAATAAAATATAAAATGTCACCTAAGAAAACATCAGCATCTATCCAAGTGAACGGGGTTCTGCGGTCCTGGAGCAACCAACCATGCGGGCGTGCTTTCGGACTAAATCCGGGGAACTCCGCGCCCTCCGCGCAGCCACCGGGGAACTCCGCGCCCTCCGCGCAACCACCGGGGAACTCCGCGCCCTCCGCGCAGCCACCGGGGAACTCCGCGCCCTCCGCACAACCACCGGGGAACTCCGCGCCCTCCGCGCAGCCACCGGGGAACTCCGCGCCCTCCGCGCAACCACCGGGGAACTCCGCGTCCTCCGCGCAGTCACCGGGAACTTCGAGTTTGTTGAGTGAGATGGGTAGGTAAAAAATGACACCACACGGCCACATGAAATACCAAAAACCTTTAATCCGAACCTTTTTGAATGGATCGATTTCTGAAAACTTAGTTCACGCAGTGCTTGTGTCACGAGCCCTGACCTCTACCATTTAATCGTGAGGTTCCGAGTCAATGGTAGTATGCGGAAGCGAAAGATGAGGGTATAACAACGCTTAGCGCGGTCCGTTTTGTCCTGTGATGTCACCTGGCCTATAGCGCGGCCGCCGCCTCCGGCCGTAGGCCATCCCAGTCGAGGGAAAAGAAGCAGTCCTCGTGATGAAAAACGGTCCGCTAAACCCACAGACCAAAGCTGCTGAGTTCTGGGAGTCTCCTCGATCCGATTTTTAAAAATGTGTAACGACAAAGCTTTCAGCTTAGATCGAAAGGATCTCCCAAAATGGAGGCAAAACCTAGTCTTCCACCCATGATTGTCGGCAAGGGGAAACCGTCCCTTGTCCTCCCCCTTCCCACCTCCCCACCCCACCCCGCCTGTAGCGTGCCAAATTTGTAATGCGGCCCTTTTTAACTGACCTGAAAGAGCGCCCACAGCTGACATGTGAGGGAATCTAGGCCTGCGAGTAAATGGGACAAAGACGCCGAGGGCGCGAAGTGCCCCGGACACAATTTAACATTTTACAAAACAATACATTTCATGCGTTTTAACGCGTTCTCATCTTATTCTAACGTCTTTTGGCCTTTGGACTTCAATTGTCCCCGTTAAGGTGTTTGACCACCGGAATTTATGTACCTTTGATTTATTGCATGTTGACTTATGTCAAGTAAGCTTTAAGCTACTTTGATTTTTCATATAACCTTTTGTCATTCAAAATTGATCCTCGTTTTTAACTTTGTGTCTGATTACTTAAAAGCTCACGGTCCAATGACCAAATTAATTCAGCTATTAAGTGTCCGATAAGCAGCTTCATGTGACAACGCCATGTCATCGGTGCTTATATTGCTTGAGGTGATTTTACGTTTTCCGGCGGAAACGCTTTTGGATGATAAAAAGGATCGATTAACGCAATGGGCTGGAAGTAGGTCTGAAAGTCATGGTGGTGTAACTTGAGCTACTATCAGGTGTACGTACTTTATGAATATTCAGAGGACACTGAAATGTAACGTAAAACAGGTTTGATCTTCACAAGCCAGCTGAAGGGTCTAGCTTACGCTGAAACAGACCTCATGTTAAAGTACTCGTAACTTGAAGCCGTTCAGGAAAGGGACGTTCATTACGAGAAAAGTGGTCGTGGTAGATGTGGTACTATGAGGTGTCAACATGATCATGCAGAATGATGATGATGATGATTTGGGGTTTTAGGGCGCATCGACTGCTATAGGTCATGCAGCGCCCATAACTAATCATCACTTTCAGTGAATTCCAAAATACGGAGTTAACAGTGACCCCGACGGATGTCCTGACTTGAAGTCGCTTGACCCTCGACCACTTGACCCTTACCACGCTGTAACCCGAAACAGCTTTTGTTCCCGCAGCATCTATATGACCCGGATTATTCCTGAGCTTCTCCACCTCGTGACCCAGTTCACCTTCTGACCCCACTCACCGTGACCCAAACCCCCACCTACGTACCTTGTCCCGTGACACAGCTCACCTCGTGACACACACTGCCGGCATAGCTCATCTCCCGACTCCACTCAACGGACTATAGCTCACTTCCTGACCTTCAACATCCCACCACCTGACTGGCCTTCTGAACTACACCATCTTATAACTCCACTGGCCTCTCGTCCCTCCTCCCACGTAGCCCGACTCACCTCCTGACCCGGTTGGTATTGGCCGCCACGGACAGGGCGCTGTCGTCCGAGGCCTGTGAGCAGGCGCTGGCCGGCCTCGGTGGCAGCTCCGCCAGACTCTGCTGCGAGCCGGCCCGGCTCGGCTCACCCTCGCGGCTCAGCAGCTCGTCCTCGATCGAGGTGCGCCGCCGACCGAGCCGCATCAGCGACTTGACCCGCCGCATGGCCTGGTGTGCCCTGTGGGCGTGCAGGGGGCAGCGGCCGGTCACGCCTGGTAGCCAGCGTGACTGAGCGCCGGCTGTCGAGGCGTGTGCCGGTGTGCTAGGCCAGGTGAGGTTTGAGTGCTGGGGTGGATCAGGTTTGAATGTCGAGTTGTGTGCCGGGTTGGGTGGGCTTTGCTTGCTGAGCTAGGTCAGGTTCGAGTGCTGGAGTGGATCAGGTCTGAATGCTAAGTTGTGAGGTTTGTTGGCGTGGTAGGACGTACTACAGGTGCCTCCGGTTCGGAGCGAAGGCTTATGCTGAAGACTTATAAAAAATACTAGGACATGTGTGGATTGCCGATCCTGTTAAAGACAACGGACACAGGCACTGTAGGTAATATTACACGTAGCGACCCACAGTGAATTGCTCAGGCTGGTCAGGACGGTAGGACAGTTTCCCCCTAAAAGTCAACGCGGCGATAAGTGCTGCCAGACAAGATCAACCCTACAACTAAACAACCCAATTCCCCAAAACGAACGCGGAAACGACGCCGTCCTGAATTGGGGCAAACACATTTCCCCCGGGACCGAAAAACTAGAACTCGTCTACCCGCTTCGCGAGCCATCCGCTGCACCACAGCGTCCCCTGCGAGCGGGCTCAGGCACGCCGACACCTACCTCTTCCCGGACGGCGTCGGGCTGGCGGGGTCGCCCAGCGTCGGCGGCGAGCGGCCTCGGGCACGCCGACACCTACCTCTTCCTGGACGGCGTCGGGCTGGCGGGGTCGCCCAGCGTCGGTGGCGAGCCGCTGAACGACGAGCGGTCGCAGAAGGAGCGCTCCAGGTTGGCGATGTTCTGCTCGATGTCCACCAGCATCTGCTGGTCGTCCTCCACCAGGGTGGCCGTCACCGAGGGCCAAGAGGTCAGTGCCTCACCCGGTGGCCGGTACAGCACCTCCAGACGGATGCGAGCCTGTCGAAAGGACCGACTCGGTGGAAAAACTGGTCTCCCGAGAGGTTAGGAAAATCAGGTCAGGTAAGGTTTAGTTCTCACACGATAACGTGAAAAATACTGATACGCATGGTTCAATGCCCGGCACATTTATGTCACTGCTTGTTGTTTTTTTGTTGCAGTGGCTGAAAAATATGAGAACAATACCATATATTTGTCTCATTTTCCGTAAGGACTCGTTCATCATTCCGAAGCTCGGGCTCGAGCCCGAATAGGCGACTAAAATGGGTACTAGTGTTGCCAAGTATTTGAGGCTGAAAAATATGAGAACAATACCATATATTTGTCTCATTTTCCGTAAGGACTCGTCCATCATTCCGAAGCTCGGGCTCGAGCCCGAATAGGCGACTAAAATGGGTACTAGTGTTGCCAAGTATTTGAGCGCGACACACTGGGGGAGATCAGAGGACCTTGTGCCGCCATGCGGACGAAACGAATGTCTTCACTCCTGAGGCTCTGAGGTTCAAATTTGCGTTTTGCCCCATATCCTCTTCTGCCTCTCCATGTGGGGTGAGCGGCCGAAGGTCACCTAGACAGGGTGCAAATGGTGATGCACTTCACAGCCAGGCTAGTGAGTGGCGTCCTTCGCTCCGGTCACATTTCACTCGTTCTGGAGACACTCGGCTGGCGTAACGTCGCGGATGATGTGCACCACCGGGCTTGCCTGATTGTGTGCAGGGCACTGCACGTCCCGAGTCCCACAGCAGGGCACTGCACATCTCCGAGTCCCACAGTACACTGGGTGCTCCATTCGTAACGCGGGCTGGGCCTTGCCAACGTCAAATGCGGGCTGCTTCGAGCGGTGCCCGCTCGTTGCATCGGCCGCGCGTTCGACTGACCGTCACCCAGAGGTCAGTGATATTTTAAAGGGTCTTCTTGAGTGAGAGTTCGTTCCCATGATATAGAAGCATTCGTATATCTCACTGAAGCAATCATGATTTCGTAAACTTTTGATGATCTGAGGTTCTCTTAAGCAGTGTCCTTCGCGCGTGGTAATTAAACGGACTGTTATCGGTGGACACTTGCCTCTGTATGATTTCTAGACAGCGGAGAACAAACTTCGGTGATATAGACACTTTCCAACCACGAAATAATTGCCTTCAAAAGGGCCGTAAAGGTGTACTGTTGCGTTGTCACCCTCAAGGCTAGTGTCCGCTCTGGCGGACGTTCTCCACTACTAGGACAAGCTTCACGTGCAAGCACGCTGAGCCCCGGGTGCATCGCTGCCTACGGGAGTTATACTGCCCCGGCCGCGATAACACCCAACGTTGAACCCCATCATCTGTCGCGGAATTAGCAGATGAGGGGTGCTCGTAAAGGGAGATCGAAGCACCCGCACTTGCCTAATTGAATATTGAAGACGGCCAGCATGCTTAGCAGCAGCATTTTTTCGCGACTTAGGCTATTCAAACCAAACACATATATTTATTACGTCATCGTGCCTTGCATACCATTGATTGAGAGCCAGTTGACGGCCGGCTATGATCGACTCGGCTACTGTATTTTTATTGGCCTTGATCGCTGCACGGCTAATGGAATAGCAGGATTTGAATGGCGTTATTATGGCGTCATGGATATCTGAGTAGCCCCGACTAGAGCGGTCGAGGTCTCAGGAAGGGTAGGGCTGTGAACTGCACCGAACGATTTTCAAGATGGCTGTCGGTTCAAAACCCCATACAAATGTGTAACGCTCCCTTTAAGGGCATATCTTGATGTCTTAAAAAAGCTTCCTTCATTTCATCCTCAGAGGTCTAAAGCTCCCAGTATTTAGTCATCGATAGTAGCACATTTGAACCAATGCACTTGCAATATGACAGGAAAAATGCCATAATATTTCATACAGAGCTGTATGTTTGTAAACGACGTATCGGCGACGTGGGATGCTCCGCGCACACATGCGTTTGCGTAATTCATTGCGCCATGCGATATCTTCAACCGCCACACAATACGTGCGGAGATAAGGAGGTACCGGTCTCAGGCGTGTGCGGAAGCTTGTATGGCGTTGGCGTCATTACTGGCTAGTGCTGCTACTCGTATTACCATGTTTGCCTTCATCTGTCCTTTCCGCCTTTCAGGTACGACATTTCGTCCGGACACGTGCATAAGGTCATTTCCTCATGAGCAATACATGGCGGCGGGGCCGACATGTTGAATCATGCGGTCGGGATGTGGAGGCCCCGCGTTCTCGCGCCACTTTCTTGTAATGACATCTATTCTGGTCTACATTAAATATCGCATGGTCATTGGCGCCAAATGACCATGTAGACGCCACGCCCGCAAGCTCCTATAAATCACCAGGAGGAACGCGGGCCCCCGAGTCCTGGCGCTGGCCGGAGCGCGGAGTCCTGGCACTGGCTGGAGCACGGGCCTCCGAGTCCTGGCGCTGGCCGGAGCGCGGGCCTCCGAGTCCTGGCGCTGGCCGGAGCGCGGGCCTCCGGGTCCTGGCACTGGCCGGAGGGCGGGCCTCCGAGTCCTGGCGCTGACCGGAGCACGGGCCTCCGAGTCCTGGCACTGGCTGGAGCACGGGCCTCCGAGTCCTGGCGCTGGCCGGAGCGCGGGCCTCCGAGTCCTGGCACTGGCTGGAGTACGGGCCTTCGAGTCCTGGCGCTGGCCGGAGCGCGGGCCTCCGAGTCCTGGCGCTGGCCGGAGCGCGGGCCTCCGAGTCCTGGCGCTGGCCGGAGCGCGGGCCTCCGAGTCCTGGCACTGGCTGGAGCACGGGCCTTCGAGTCCTGGCGCTGGCCGGAGCGCGGGCCTCCGAGTCCTGGCGCTGGCCGGAGCGCGGGCCTCCGAGTCCTGGCGCTGGCCGGAGCGCGGGCCTCCGAGTCCTGGCACTGGCTGGAGCACGGGCCTTCGAGTCCTGGTGTTGGCCGGAGCGCTGAACACCTCGCTGCTCACTGGTACTAGCAACCACACACTGCTCATTGATGCGAGCAATGCCGTCAGATATGATGGAACAAGCTCACGTATAACTATTGTTATACTTTTACGTAGAAAAGGCTGCTCTAGACAACACAGCTTTTCTGATAAGTAAATGTGTTCTCAGATACGTAATTGCTTGATTACGTCACGTACATTGCACAACATTTATTGAGAACCAGTTGACAGCCGTTATATATGGAAATCGTGCTCACGAACACCAGATACAGATGACTTGACCATTATATTGTCATTGGCCTTGATAACCACATGGTTTATAAGGTGGCACGAATTGGGTGACGTCATTATGATGTCATAAATGGCAGGGGGACCTTCAAATACTCTTCCAAATAACCCTCCCACATCTTTGCGGCCTTCAAGCTCCGGGACCAGAGGGCTTTATGTCTTAAAAACGGCATGGCCGTGAACTGCATCAAGAGGTCTTCAATATGGTTACTTCAGTTTAAAACCGCATATAAATGCGAAACACTCACTTTAATGGAGTGCCAGCGACGGGATTGGCAGCAAAGCATACCAATGCAAAGAACAGCTGAAAAAGTAAGCGTTCAGACATAAATGAGCGACAAAAACTCGGGAAAAAGAACGACTTTTGTGGCACATTAGGTCACTTTCCACAGTTTCTGAGGGCAGGGCTAGGCCCTGCTAAGCCCGGGCTGAGCAGGACTTGGCTAAGCCGCTCCCCCCCCCCTCCCCCTCAAACCCATCTTAGCACATGACGTTCCAAGGCAACGAACTCTTCGGAAAAATTTGATGTTTTTTTGTCAATTTATAACAAACAAAAAACAGACGGATGTAACTTAACTGCTACGATGTTACCCATATCTACAGACAAGAGCTTAAGGCAACTCACGTTGATGGCCAAATCTGCCTTGACGACTCAAAATCACGCTCTACCATCCATTTTGATGCATCAGAAGCACCCTTAAAATTTTGAAACGGAATACATGGAGTGACATCGCCGGTGTTCATGTCTAACAATGGGTTCACAGTGACTAATTACTCCGGCGCGCCCCGACTGCAAAAGGTAAGCCTTTCCTCTTGATACCCAATGTCATGCCATATGTGAGCTCTACTGCCAGCTTGGCATTCCTTCGGGGCCACCCAAATGTTTGTACAGACATGAAGAAGTTCGTTAGGGACTCGTTACTTAGACAATCGACGTGCTGAGCAAACTTGTCGGAGACATGAACTTCCCACACTTCAGAGTGCAAGGTTGCAATCTGGCCCAGGGTAGCTTAACGAGGCGGAAAGTAATGAAGTTTGCTAGGGCTATGCAGTTTCAGGCATGACAGTGTAAAGCACAGACTTCCTGATGAGCAAGCAGAAGTCGTGTATCGTTCGCGGAACAACTTGTGGTTAAAGTTCAGAGACATTTGACACGATGAACGAAGAAGGCGACACTTTGAGAAACGTGGCGCACGTCGAAATGCGTGGGAAACGAAGTACGCACCAAACGTGGGAGGGTCAACCCCTCGTTTGGCACATTACATCTTGCCATCAGAACAGAGCTTTCGCTTTGAAATGAAGGTCTACTGTCCTGTCCCGCTCACGCCCGGCTTCCATGCCGAGTGTGCAGAGCGAGCACGCTTCTATTGCAAGCCGGCCTCCCAAATCAACGGGCATTATCCTGATGTTCCTCCACCACTGTCAGCTTTCTTCACGCTGACCTAAACCCGGGCCAGCCGTACCTGAATAATCTTGTTATTGCTGTCCACGAGGTAGTCGTTGACCTTGACATAGCCGTCCTCAAGCAGGCGCTGCAGCACGAGGCCGTAGCCGCCGAGACTCCTGTTCTGGAGATAGCGGTTCCTGGCCACCACCTCAAGGGTCAGGAGTGCGTCCCGGTCCAGCGGCTGGTCCAGGCTGAACTCCACCTCCTGAAAGGACGGGGGTATCAGGAGTGTGTCGCGCTCAGAGGCTGGTCTGGGCTGAACATCGTCTCCTGGAAGTGGCTGCATCAAAACAAGCCCCCGTCCAGATGCTGCCCCATGAAAAAGAAGCTAATCCTGAAACTCCGCCGCTTGGAGGGACAGGAGCGTAAGGAGCGATATAGGTCTGTTTAGTAACAGTGGATCATAGCTGCCTTCCACGCCCGGCGCTGACAGTGGTGCATGTGACGTCGGATTGCGAAGGGCTACCGTGGTCCGACTCCTCGGGCCAAGGGCGCTGGTTGTCATTAGCATGGAAATAGACCTGCCTTCATAACAGCTTCCAATGCAAGACGCTCGGTATGTTTCGATTGGGACCACTGAATCCTTGCGTCCACAGAAAGTTGTCTGTCAAAGCAGCTGTGTACGAATTTCACGCTCAGTTGATGGTTCAGCGCGGTTGAATATTTCATAGGCAAATTGCACGTCATACAAAAGCGCGAAGTGGTCGCAAATGGTCCTGGTTTGAACGGCAGCCAGAATAAAACTCTTGAACCGCCGCCAGCCTCAGCAAGTGTGCCACTTCTGTCGCCGCCAGCCCCAGCCCCACCCCTCTCCACCGTCCGCCAGCCTCAGCGTAATAAGCGCAGCCCGGGCTGAGGGCCAATCATGCCGCCGCGTCACATGGAGTGTTCCGCCATAGCGGTAAACAAGGCGCCGCTCGCTCGATGTCCTGGTCCGGCCTTGGGTCGGCGACGCATTTATACCGGTGGTTATAAAAACGTCACCCTCGACAAACATGTACTGCAAGGCTTTCATCTTACAGACGTTTTCTTACTGTGTTTTCATCTTACAGACGTTTTCGCGTTCGATCTGTCGTCAGCACGATCGATTGTCAGCTGGAATGTGTGACGTCATGCGTGCTGGTGGAGTGTTCGATGTGTGGGCTCGTGGGAAAGTCTTTAGCTTGACCTTCTTTTTTCCTTTATCTTTTAATTACTCCAGACCACACACTAATTCTGGCTTACCGCCGACCATGACGCGCTAGCTACAAAGTGGTATATCGAGGTGTAGCTCCTGTACGGTACTGCGATTATCAATCCCACCCGCAAGTTAAGTGCGTCTTCCCATTCCCATCTCATTAAGTTTTTCCCTTGCCATTTTTGTCCACTCAGCTTTGAGTGGAAAACGTCTATCGATCCATCACTGCTACTGGAGCCGGCATGAACCCCATCCTTTAATTTAACTCCCACTTGTATTGATAAAGCCCATGTTCGAGATGCGAAACGTGTCGTTCCTGTTCCCTCCTTCACGATTAATCGAACGCAAATAGCTCACTAGGTGACGCAACCACACGCGAGACCAATCGTTGTCGCTTACCTTTTCATGGTTACTGCTAGCAGTCCAATTGCATTCTTTCTGCGTCGCATTCGCCCGATACTAGAGACAAGTGTCCCCACTGCACCCAACGTACTCGCAAATGCAAGAGCCACCACATCAAACTCGTGCTTCTTTGTAAAGGATATTTGTGAAATCTGGTAGCGCTTTCTCTCCATGTTGACCGGTGGACAAAAAAATCCCCGCAGCAGCGTTAGCCGGTGTGTGACGTCACAAACCACGTGACTGCAGTGACGTCACATGACGTAGGGAGAACATTAGCGCTGTCGGACGCCCGGACGACAAACCGAATCCGGCCCAGGCAACTACTGCTGTGAAGACAAAATTGGTAACCATGATAAATACGCATTAAGCACGGAAGTGGCTTGCATGAAGAAGTAGATGCTGTCGACACATAAGCAACACGAAATAGGACAAGAACGGGTCGGGAGCCGCAAATTGAAAATATAATGGGTATAGAGAAACATGTATTGAGGGAGTGTTCCACATCTGTGTGGAGTTTTAGTCTGAGACAGCCATTTTAAAGATCATTCGGTGCAGTTCACAGCTCTGCCTTTATTAAAGCAGGTGTTCCAAATTCATAAGGGTTTTTTAATTGAAATGGTCATCTTGAAGACCTTTCGGTGTTGTTCACAATTCTACCCTTCTTAAGACCTAAGACACTCTAGTTTCTGAGCTACACGCCCGCGAAAATGGGCAGAGGAATATCGGGAGGAGCATTTTAAAGTCACCTTGGCATTTATGACGCCATTATGTCCTTCACATCCCGCCCTTTTATAAGCCATACGGCAATTATGGTCGTGAGCGTGATTTCCAGACATAACGGCCGTCAATTGGCTCTCAATCAATGTTGTGCAAGGTACTATAACGTAATCAAACCATGACGCATTGAGGAACATATTTACTAAGCAGAAGATTGTGTTGTCTAGAGCAGTCTTTTCCCCTTAAAAAGTTCACCAATAGTTATAAATTAGTTTTTCACCATATATCATGCTTGCTTCAATATCTTCAAATGGAGAGCACTCCATTTAAGACCTAAACCCCTCTAGTTTTTTAGACACGCGCCCGCGAAATTGCACTGACTATTTCGGGGATATAATTTCAAGATCATCCGGCCATCCATGACGCAATAATAACGCCCTTCAAATCCATGCATTCTATTAGCCAAACGGCGATCAAGACCACGAAAAATATAATTATCGAATCGTTCATATTTGGCGTTCGTGAGCACGACTTCCAGATAAAGCGTCTGTCAATCGGCTCTCATTTAGTATTGTGCAAGGTACGATGACGTAATCAAACAATGACGTATTAAAGATCATATTTACTACGCAGAGAAACTGTGTTACTTTGAGCCATCTTTTCCACTTAAAAGTAAAACAATAGTTATAACCCAGCTTCATGCATTATGTCTCCTGTTTGTTTCAATATATTCATATGTGGCACATTCCCTTTAAGATAACGTACTGCGGAAAAGTTGTTGGCTTTCTTGGGCATCGGCGTAATCACGACGCCGAAATCGCGGAGACATCAGAATTGGAGGGGTGAGACTGGAGTCTAGGGGAGACAATTTCAACTGAAAATGACATTGTGAGCTGGAAGTCCATAGATTCCATAGAGGATTCAATCGCCATAAAATCCCTCTCAGATCGGAGCCACACTCTCAAAAGTGCTTGAAGTTTGATGAAGTGTAATTCCTTCACCTTGCTTAGCATCGCTGCCCTATGACCTTCGAGTTGACCTCAAGAACTTTTTTACTGCGCTGCCACCGAGCTGTCGCGCTGTTATTATAGGATCTTGGCTGCTACCTCGTCGCGCACCCGTAGTGGCGCACGATGTTTGTGTTAGGTATTTCGCTGACCTGGCAGCCTAGCGAGAAAACTTCTCTCATTTGGTACCACCAGTGGTGTTCTGAGATCAACCGGAATTAATACACGGACCGGCGGGGGGGGGGGGGGGGGCTGTGGCCGCTCAGTCCTGCCCCTCCCTCCCCCACACACATATACTCACCCGGCCGAATGCATTGCCTCTGATGGCCTCACGACACGGACGTGGACAGAACGCGCGCACGTGCCAGGGCAGACGACACATGTGCAGGGACGCCCAAGAGACCGGCAGACGACACACGACACGGTTGCGGGAGGCGCCCAGGAGACCGACAGTCGTCCGGCTCGTCGCGCTTTAGCTGGCTGGCACATGCAAACAGGGAGTCGAGAGTGCTGGGGGTGATCTGCCTCCCCGGGGGTGCGCTCTCGGGTGCGTGACCAGCTTTCCCAATATCACGGGAGCGACAATCCGCACAAGGAAGGGAGACAAAAAACGGCCTTGCACAAGCGAAGTGGTCCTAGCACTGCGAAGCTGTCCTCACGGTAATGCTGTGAAAATTTACCAGCGCAACATTGCGATCGCCAAACATTTCGGATTACGTATAAGGTAGCATGGCTTGACGGAGAACTGACGTATTGTAGTGAAATCCTACAACCAGCTTCGATGTTCATTCTGGCGATTTCTTCAGCGAGAATGAGAACTACACCGACCTTGCAAACCACGACGGCCTACTTCGCCAAACTGGAAATGAAGTAACGTGAAATAAGTCAGAAAACAACATTCGGACTCCGCGGCAGTGGCTGAAATCCCACCGAAATGAAGGCCTAGAAATCCCACAGACCCACTGTGACCAATTACCTAACATGCATGGCCAGCAGGTGCCAACAGATTCCATCGCCGCCCTGCCTCAGTTCACAGCAGTAGGAGCTGCTGTCTTCTGGGCTGTGGGAGTGGTGCCGCGTCTGGTGGTGGCCCATGGTCATTGTCCCAAGTAGTCGTCAAGGAAAAGGCCCTGATGTAATTTAGTGGTACAGAATTGGGTTATACTTTTTGTTCTGCTCGGTGTTGTTTTGCCAGATAGACAGAGCAGCGGCGCGTTTAGAGCCTTGGCAAGAGGAGGGCACACGGTTGGCAACGGGCTCATTAGTCGTGAAAGGGCCTCCCAAAAAATCGCCGGATATGGCCCACTTGTTAATGAGGACACTTTTTTCCTGTAAATGGATATATATATATATATATATATATATATATATATTACACATTTTTACCTTCCATAACTTCAATATAGGCAAAACGCTACCGCGCGAAAAATTCTGATTTCATTTTATAGTCAATAAACTGACAAAATCATGCGTTGAATGACTGCATGAAATAACCCGCCGGCGCTCTTCGTTTACAGGAGTTCAGTGGACTCTTTTTAAACCGATAGAACTCAGCACCTTTGTCAGAAATTTTATTTGGGTTGTAAAGAGACAGCAAGTATTCCGCGAATATAAACTGAAGATAAAAACGGCTAGACAATTTGCATTGACATGGCCAAGCCATGTTTGTCTGGATATCTGCAACATTCAGTCAGAACTGATCAGGGACACAAGTGATGTAACGCAGTTTTGGGCCCGCTCGCTCGAGTGTCTTAGAAACAAAAACCTCGATTTCAGGCGTTGCAGTCTCCCTAGGCCGCGCGGCGTAGGTACCGTGGCTAATATTAGGCCGCGCCAACAGGTGGACGAAAATGGTCACGCATCTGAAAGAAGTACCTCGAACACTTTTGGCCACCAAATCGC